CAAGAACTAGGTACCCAACCCAAGTAAACAAGAATTACACATTACCAGGTACTTACCAGCCAAGTACCAGGTACTTACCAGCAAGTACCAGGTACTTACCAGCAAGTACCAGGTACTTACCAGCAAGTACCAGGTACTTACCATAGGGACTGGCCCATAATAAGACAAAGGACTTTAACATAAGTACCAGTGATAAACACCAGTAATTATACAGTAAGTACCAGGTACTTACCATAGGGACTGGCCCATAATAAGACAAAGGACTTTAACATAAGTACCAGTGATAACACCAGTAATTATATAGTAAGTACCAGGTACTTACCATAGGAACTGGCCCATAATAAGACAAAGGACTTACCCATAAGTACTAGTGATACCAGTAATTATATAGTATACCATGTACTTACCAGCAAGTACCAGGTACTTACCAGCAAGTACCAGGTACTTACCAGCAAGTACCAGGTACTTACCAGCAAGTACCAGGTACTTACCAGCAAGTACCAGGTACTTACCAGCAAGTACCAGGTACTTACCAGCAAGTACCAGGTACTTACCAGCAAGTACCAGGTACTTAACAGCAAGTACCAGGTACTTACTTAACAGCAAGTACCAGGTACTTACCAGCAAGTACCAGGTACTTACCATAGGGACTGGCCCATAATAAGACAAAGGACTTTAACATACTTGCTGGTAAGTACCTGGTACTTGCTGTTAAGTACCTGGTACTTGCTGGTAAGTACCTGGTACTTGCTGGTAAGTACCTGGTACTTGCTGGTAAGTACCTGGTACTTGCTGGTAAGTACCTGGTACTTGCTGGTAAGTACATGGTATACTATATAATTACTGGTATCACTAGTACTTATGGGTAAAGTCCTTTGTCTTATTATGGGCCAGTTCCTATGGTAAGTACCTGGGTACTTACTATATAATTACTGGTGTTATCACTGGTACTTATGTTAAAGTCCTTTGTCTTATTATGGGCCAGTCCCTATGGTAAGTACTGGTACTTACTGTATAATTACTGGTGTTATCACTGGATAACTTTATGTTAAAGTCCTTTGTCTTATTATGGGCCAGTCCCTATGGTAAGTACCTGGTACTTGCTGGTAAGTACCTGGTACTTGCTGGTAAGTAACTGGTACTTGGCTGGTAAGTACCTGGTAATGTGTAATTCTTGTTACTTGGGTTGGGTACCTAGTTCTTGCAGTGTTTCCCTTGTCCTTGAAACTTGTTTTGAAATATGCATTAAATGTATTTATACTGTCCTTTCTGTGCTACTTATTCCATATTAATAAAGACGTTTGTTTTACATAATGTTGTTTTATGTTTTATAGTCAAACAATCCTACAAATGACCTCTGTATGTATGTATGTAGAAGTACCACATTTACTACATAGGAATAATACTGTAGTGTCCTTGAATTACTAAGTTACAGCTGTATCTAGAATTATCACAATAAGTACCTAGAAGTACCACTGTAAGTACCACAATAAGTACCTCTAAGTACCACTGTAAGTACCTAGAAGTACCACTGTAAGTACCACAATAAGTACCTAGAAGTACCACTAGAAGTACCACTGTAAGTACCTAGAAGTACCACTGTAAGTACCACTGTAAGTACCACCGTAAGTACCACCGTAAGTACCACCGTAAGTACCACCGTAAGTACCACCGTAAGTACCACTGTAAGTACCACCGTAAGTACCACCGTAAGTACCACCGTAAGTACCACCGTAAGTACCACCGTAAGTACCACCGTAAGTACCACTGTAAGTACCTAGAAGTACCACTGTAAGTACCTAGAAGTACCACTGTAAGTACCACTGTAAGTACCACTGTAAGTACCACTGTAAGTACCACCGTAAGTACCACCGTAAGTACCCCTGTAAGTACCACCGTAAGTACCACCGTAAGTACCACCGTAAGTACCACCGTAAGTACCACCGTAAGTACCACCGTAAGTACCACCGTAAGTACCACCGTAAGTACCACTGTAAGTACCTAGAAGTACCACTGTAAGTACCTAGAAGTACCACTGTAAGTACCACTGTAAGTACCCTGTAAGTAAGTACCACTGTAAGCACCACCGTAAGTACCACCGTAAGTACCACCGTAAGTACCCCTGTAAGTACCACCGTAAGTACCACCGTAAGTACCACCGTAAGTACCACCGTAAGTACCACCGTAAGTACCACCGTAAGTACCACTGTAAGTACCTAGAAGTACCACTGTAAGTACCTAGAAGTACCACTGTAAGTACCACTGTAAGTACCACTGTAAGTACCACCGTAAGTACCACTGTAAGTACCACCGTAAGTACCACCGTAAGTACCACCGTAAGTACCACCGTAAGTACCACCGTAAGTACCACTGTAAGTACCTAGAAGTACCACTGTAAGTACCTAGAAGTACCACTGTAAGTACCATGGACTTACCACCGTAATGTACCACCGTAAGTACCACCGTAAGTACCACCGTAAGTACCACCGTAAGTACCACCGTAAGTACCACCGTAAGTACCACTGTAAGTACCTAGAAGTACCACTGTAAGTACCTAGAAGTACCACTGTAAGTACCATGGACTTACCGGCCCGTAATGTAAAGTGTTACCCAAATTCCTCCTCATCTATTACAGTCAAGTGTAACTGAGAGCACAAGAAAAACATCTCAAAGTATTCAGACAAATATTTGGTGGGAGATTTTACAGCAGCAGCTTCAGTCCGTCAATTGGGTCGTGAGCAGGGTGCACAGTGGACAATGGCCAGTTTGTTGCAGGGCTATAACCGGACAGACACATAGACCTACGCAAACAGACAACCATCCACTGCCACTATCGCATAGATTTTGGTTTAATTCGGATAAACCCCTAAAGAAAAAAATTGTTTTAAAATCTGAAGCATGAAAACAATCCATAGATCCATGCCACCTCTATCAATGTGGATTCAAATAAAAAAAAACAAGCAGCTTTCGACTTTGTACCCGTTTGAGATTTTGGTAACACTGGAAATTACACTACAGTGATGTTATCCTGCGTCGCACAGCCTCAGTCCTCGTTGTACAGCCTGAGTCCTGGATCTACAGCCTCAGTCCTGGATCTACAGTCTCAGTCCTGGATCTACAGCATCAGTACTGGATCTACAGCATCAGTTCTGGATCTACAGCCTCAGTCCTCCTTCTACAGCCTGAGTCCTGGATCTACAGTCTCAGTCCTGGATCTACAGCATCAGTACTGGATCTACAGCATCAGTTCTGGATCTACAGCCTCAGTCCTCCTTCTACAGCCTGAGTCCTGGATCTACAGCATCAGTACTGGATCTACAGCATCAGTTCTGGATCTACAGCCTCAGTCCTCCTTCTACAGCCTGAGTCCTGGATCTACAGTCTCAGTCCTGGATCTACAGCATCAGTCCTGGATCTACAGCCTCTGTCCTGGATCTACAGCCTCAGTCCTGGATCTACAGCCTCTGTCCTGGATCTACAGTCTCAGTCCTGGATCTACAGCATCAGTACTGGATCTACAGCATCAGTCCTGGATCTACAGCCTCAGTCCTCCTTCTACAGCCTGAGTCCTGGATCTACAGTCTCAGTCCTGGATCTACAACATCAGTCCTGGATCTACAGCCTCTGTCCTGGATCTACAGCCTAAGTCCTGGATCTACAGCCTTTACGTCTGTGGGAGCGGATCCCTCTCTCAATGGGGGCCACCCTGAGGTTTCTCAATTTTTTTCCCACTGGGTTTTTGTTGTTGCTGTTCCTTGTCGATCCAGAAGGGTCTAAGAGTCCCAGGACTTTTATGGACAGCCGTCTCCAGCCGTCTCCATATGGACTATGGTTATTGTGTTCCTTGTGTCATTCTCTGGTCTGTTGACGAGAGTAGACAACTTTATTACGTCTGTTGTGATTTAGGGCACTACGATAATAAATGGAATTGAATTACATCCCTCACATACTAGTGTTATTATTTCCAGTCAATTGATAACCTAATGATGATGAAACCTCAAAATAAAGTTTGCTACCACTTTTATAATAACTTCAACAAGGGATTACTTTAACTTGTTTGGATAAAGAAATCAACAACAAAAATTTTATTGTTATTCCATTACGAGAATAATTGGCGACAAATTTAACAGCAATTACTGAGTCAAAGCCTGACCCAATGTTCTATACTAGCTTGAGAATAGATGATTACTGTATATTCATTCAGTGCTTTTCAGAATCTCAAGGCACTCAAAGAACCACCACCCATCCACACAAGCTTTCAAACATCAGTGTAGGCAGAGACGTGGGAGCGAGGCAGGTTAAGGACACCGCAGCATTGAGTATGTTTGTACTTATGGCTGGAGAATACTGACTATGCTTCAAACCCGGACTCAATTTGTCACCGCTTCCAAACCGCTCAGACCACTCCAGTCCGAGCCTGATCAGCCAGAGCCTCCCAATTTAACAATACGTGAGAGTCTACATCTCTGCTCCGATCTGCCCTTTTCATGGGCTGAGTGGACAGAAAAGTGACTGCAGAAAAGCTAAACATGAGTTTTACCGAAGACGCCGAAGGTATCTGACTTTCTCGCTGCCTTTGTAAACATTCTCATTCATACTTTCCAACCTCTGGGTCATCAATCTGACAGCTCAATAAGATTTATAGTGTATATCAAGGACGGGATTTGGTTCAGAGGACAAATACTCAACCAACTGAGCAAGGTCCTTTTTCAAAAATGAGAATATCCAATATGTCATGGTCTAGGATTATTTCTTCCTCTCCTAATGTAATTCACCTCTATCCATTTAGTCTTGGGTATTTAAATCCTGTGCTGTCCTTCAGTCCCCTATTTCCACTTTAAGGTCTCTGTGAGTTCTTGTCTTTGTCCCCTGTTTGGTTACGTTTCTATTGTTACCCTGTTTTTTGTATTTGCTATTATTGCAGTCCTGAGATTTGGGTTCATTTCATTTTGCCATAGTTGTTGTGGAGAAATGCAAAGTACAGTAAAAGCAGTACATACCTATGGGTAACACCAGGAAGAACGGCAGCCAGCAGAGAATGAAGCACCCGACGACGATCCCGAGCGTCTTTGCTGCTTTCTCCTCACTGGAAAACTTGATCATTTTCAACACAGCAAACGAGGCGCGCTTATGCTTCACGCTGCCTTGTTTGTCGGAATGCGCCGCGTTGCCACGGTGTATCCGCAACGTCACTCCCTCCGAGTTCTCCCCCTTGCTGCCTTTCCTCAAACTCTTGGTCTCCCGGGTCGCTACGGTGTACACTCTGCAATACATAACTAAGATTATTGCCAGAGGTATGTAGAACGAACCAAGGGCCGAGAACAAGGCGTATCCAGGCTCCTCTGTGATCTGGCAAACCGTTTCATCTTCTGGTTGCGGCTGCTTCCATCCAAAAAGAGGACCAACGGAAATAGCCGCGGACAGTCCCCAAAGGCAAGCGACCGCGGCCAGACACCGCCTCCCGGTCGCAACCGTCGGGTAACGCAAAGGGTAGCTGACGGCGAGATAGCGGTCAATGGAGATGACGCACAAGCTCAGTATTGACGCGGTGCAGCAAAGAACGTCCAACGCTGCCCACACGCTGCAAAAAGTCCGCCCGAAAACCCAGCGTCCCAAGGCTTCGGAGGCGGCGGAGAAGGGCATGACGGCGGAACTGAGGAGCAGGTCGGCGGCCGCGAGGTTGACGATGAAATAGTGAGTCACGGATCGCCAGTGGTGATGGAACAAGACGGACAAGATGACCAGCATGTTTCCCAGGACGCCAAAGATGAAAAAGACCACCATGACAATCCCCATTATGATTGTTTTGCTGACGTCTAGATCCGTGTGGAAAGACAGGGTGCAGTTGGAACAAGGGGTGCTCATGTTGGGAACATTAGCTACCATGTTTTAATCTTAGCATCTTGAGGCCAATCAAGGGGTCACCAAATTTTTTTCGTTCTTCAAACTACCATGATTTGGCAATGTTGGTATTAGCAAGAGGACAAGAGGATAGAAACTTTATTGATCCCCGCAGGAGAAATTCAGGTGTCCAGTAGCAGGATCATCTATTACTGTTAGAATATTCTATAGTTTCGGAGAAGATCTAAGCTTTGATTCAACTCGATAGATGTGTCTAGTGATAGTTGAAGTCTAATGACAGTTTGACCCATGCCATAACTTAAGATGTCATAGTATATTTTCTGCCTCTGGAAACCCGATTGAAAAAGCAATCCCTAAGTCTTTGTATGTGTATTTTCAGGTAACATGTAGTGCAAATGTTTTTATATATTCAACAGATATTAATGGTGAATTTCTATCTCTATATTTGTCACTATCAGTTCCAATTGTTTCCACAACCCTTCAAATGGACTGTTGATTTGTATCTCCAGGGAGTTCACTTTTGTTACCAGAAGTTCTTTTGTGTTGGGCAGGAACAAAATTCTCCATATTCCAGAGCTGCCATTTTTGCATCACTTGGGAACGTGCCATGTAGTCATTTCACGCTGAATTACTTTACTCTCGACTTGACGACAAAGGTAAACATCTCTTGGTCTTCACTTGAGTCATGCTTGAGGATAATCCAAGTTTTTTTCCTCGGTATTTGAACTTTAGCCACTGACTTTGGCAAGCACTAAGATATTCCAGACCCTCCGCCAGTTCCATTCATCAATATTACTCCCTGTGATTACTTCGGCACCCTATCTCTTCCGCTTTCGCACTACAAAACATGCCATCATTTCAGCGCTCTGCTTGCCAATGAATCAGATGGGATTGCTTGGCTAAATGTCACAGCGACCAAAAGAAACCGTTTGTCGGATTGGGGCCCAGTGTGGTTCCGTGGCAATGACGGCGATTGTGGTGAGCAGACATTCGCAAAGGATTTGAATAGTTTTATCCAGGGTTTATTCCATAGAAACCTGCAAAACAAGAAACAGAGAAAAATTAGTCCAAGCTCGGAAGAGAAGATGCCACTGTAATTGGGTTCATTAGCAGTGATTTGTGGTTTTGAAAAGTGCTTCAACATTGTTAGCAGTACTAGTGCAGTCTAGAAAACAAAACCTGGAAAGGGATTCTAAATATTATCCCTTTTTGTCTCATTTTTTCTTGTCTCAAACAAGAAAAAATGTCCACCAAAATTTCTGTTGTGATAATCCCTTTACAACACTCAAGGCGACCAAAGTGCTTTACAATAAAACAACATAAAATCCATGAAACAGCATTTATGCAATAAAAAACAAGTTCAAAAACAGCAATTAGTTTGGGGTATGTCTCTATAAGCTTTGCACAATGTGAAGGAGTAGTCCCCACTCCTCACCAACAGGTGATTAGTGGAGGTGCTGGGCTGGAGGCGCATGCCAGTTGCACCCATGGATCTATTATAATAACTGGATAGGGTATTACTAGCTTGTAGCTGAATAACTCATGTGCTCGGGGGATTCTCGCGGTACTGCAGACTGAACCAGACTAAATTCACGTGGGCTACCCAGAAATGTTTCCCATAGAACTCAATGCATATTAAAACAGCTCAACCTCAGCTGACAGAGAACCTACAGCTTTCATAAAGGTCGGATTTTGTGGGGATTTTAGTGTCCCTTGTCATCCTGAACTTTTTTTCTTCTTAAATCCTTCGGTTTTGTTTAAATCCACACTTTAGTGCCACAAACTCTGCTCCTCTGGCTCTCGCTCTAACTCCCGCTCTGATGAACTGCTCTGATTGGTCAGAGCGCGGCCGAGCCCCTCTGTGCACGTGCGTGAGACCCGGTGTGAGACCCACACACGCGTGTTTGGCGCAACGCATTATGGGAGATCATCCACTGCGCAGAACCGGGAGGACCAGACGATGCCCAAATACAGGCGAGTTTCCCATAGATCTTTGCGAGTTTCCCATAGATCTTTGCGAGTTTCAGGCAACTTCCGCTAATCTTTCAGCCCCCATGCCGTATTATTTCCTGTCCTGGTGAGAGGCTGTCCCAGTATCTCAAACGCTACACACAAACCTTAAGACTGAATTTACATTGCAACAGTTCAAGCTCCATCACTTTACCTGGAGAGCCTTTGTGACCAGTCGTTTTTGGATCTTGCCACAGTTTCGAGATTGGATTGGTCTGGACTCTGACTGGGTCATTTTAACACAAGAATAAGTTTTGGCTGTATCCATGTAATTATCCTAATGATCGGTAAACTTCCACTACACTTTTAAGTCTAAATTTGCAAAGTCCAAGAGCCCGTCTGTGTTAGGGCAGTGGTGGGGCCTCTCAGTGACACCTGTAGGAGATGCTCATCCGGCAGACAACAAGGACCCTTTTTTTTTGTGTCGGCATTTTATGTTTTTCTTGCGACTTCTTATCTTGATTTTGTTCTTAGCAGTTCCTGAGTCCCTGTCTGCTCTTGGTCGGCACTAGATCATATACGGAATCGGGACGAAACCGGAAGTAACACTGATACTTTCGACGTAGTTTTAGACTAATGAGTCCTTAAGTGGTGACTGGTTAAGTTTTAGGTGTCTGAGTAAGATGGTTAAGGTTAGGGTTAAGGCTGGGTTGGGGTTATTTAATGGGAATGGCTGGTTAAGTTTAGGCATGAATAGGTAGTTTGTTATATTTACTTCCGCTTCCGTTCCGATTCCGTATATGATCTAGTGCTGACCGTCTGCTCTTTCAGTCTACCACGCCATACTTGCCTTCAAACCATCTTACCTCCAACGTCAATAAATGAGTTAAGTTTTCTTTAGTAATTGACCTTTTGTTTGTATCTTTTGTGCCGTAACAAATCTCACACTTTGCTTTGATATTTCATAAAAAATAAAACCAAAAATGTTGACAAAAATGGGTCGTGTGAATGCTTTGACTTTGCCGTTAAACTTCAGGGAACTTTATAATAATTATGTCATCACTTCACTCAACCACTAATCATGAGTGGGAAAAATATACATGTTGGATTATTTAATTAATTCTCTGAACAAAAAAAACAGCTTTTTGAAGGACCACTGCGAGTGTTGCATTTGAGAAAACACAGATTACGCCTCACTGGACTAAAAAGCATTTTACAATTTCCTTTTCATCACAAATCCATTAACACGTTTTCCTGTTTTCTGCTTTTATAACAAACAAACAAACGCCTGATTATATGTCTCATTAGAGAATCCATTTAACAAGGTCCAATGTTTTAAGAAAATTAAGCGCAAAGAGCATATACAGAAGTCTGGGTTGTAAACAAACGTTACAACATTGAGCCTGGAGCTGCCAAACCACTTTAGCTGGTCCACATGCTGCCACTGAAATACATTCCAATTACCATAAATAATAAAACCTCTGCAATTAACTGGCCATTCTGAAGCGGTGAGGATATAATTTAGATTAAGAAGTATGTAAATATGTGTCGGGATGTTCTGGAGCTCACAGTTTAACCTACAAAACTATGCTCCTCATTAGTAAGTACGAAAACATGTTCTAAGTCTTGTTTATCTAAAACATACGCAAGAGACAACTCTTACGGCAAATATCTTCATTTATTATTGATCTTTATTACAGACTCAAGATGAAATGGGTCCATACGAAAAAGAAAAGGGAATACAAAATGAATAAAAATAACATTAATAATAACAATGGCTTGAACTTGGCTTAACTCTCTAAAAGCGACACCGCAAAAAGTAAAAAATGTATTGTTGTGAAATGTATCTTAACCAGAGTCAGTGTCTTCATAAATAATTGTTAATTATTTTCAATATGTCAAAGTCAAATACATCCGAGGCCAAAAGAACAAATTTGCTACGAGCCTAACCTATTTTACTAAGTTTCTTAAAACGTAAAAATGATTGATTATCACCTATTGAACCAAGACCTCAACCAATATTGTCTTATGGCTCTGTGTGTGCTGGTTCTTATACTAACCAAATCTCATCCTAAGCAACCCCAGTACTTGTCAAAGTCAAGTACCGGGGGCCAGATTATTCCGGATCATGTAGTGCCTGGGTCTTCCTATAATTTTGACCTTACTATTCTCTATTCCTCTGTGTTTTCTAACCTGCAAGTTTTCTCTGTTTGCACACATCTTTGTAGAGCATCATACCATTTTTTACCATTTCAATTCTATTCAATTCAATGTATTATGTTATAGCTCTAAATCGCAACAGCAGTCGTCTCAGAGGACTTTACAAAAATGATGGGAATTAGTGGGAAACAAAAAACGTTTTACTTGTTACTACTCTTTGAAATCAATATATTATGGATCCCCTGATGCACTCACTGGCTGTTTTACTACAATATTTGCCAATGGGACAAGCAACAATGTCTGGTTTTAAAAGAGACCAGAACAATTTTTCTTGGAATGATGAATACAATGCAGCTGTACATGAAAAAAGACTAAACTGTTGGTCCCTTTGGCGAATCTTCCATTGAGTCATAAAGTTCTCAATTCAAGATGAAAACCTGATTCAGGAATTTATTACTAGAGTACACTAAAGTCACGATCCATTCAATCCATTGAGACTGATGATACATTTCCCTCTGTGGCCTCTCTGCCTCTGCCTTGCTAACCCAGAGAAGCTAACTTTTTCACACCAGATAGAAGATTCTGGAGGTGGACAGATTAATATAAACTATGTAAACACGAGATATGGCTCAATTGATGTGTATGAAGTATGAAATAAACGATAATACACTAACATGAAAGATATTTGGAACACTAATGTGCACTGTGTTATGTAGGAAGTTGAACATAAATAAAATAAATCAAATGTTCATAGACACAAGTTCAGCCAACTTCAACTCCACCAGCTGGCAACTGTTTTAGATAGATAGATACTATATTGATCCCAGTAGAAATGTAGGGTTCCAGCAGCAGAAAACTCATCCAGGTTTGTTGTTCAGTCTGAGTGATAGGAA